TCTCCTCCCCCGGGGCCACCCAGTCGGAGTCAAGGCCTTCTCGGATCCGAGCGACTTTGTCATGCAGATATTGCGCAAAGTCCTTGGCCTTCCCCTCCAGGGGATCCCCTCCCTCCCTCAATTGGAGGAGAGAGCGGGTCACCCTGAAGAGGGCGGCCGGGCGGTTATCTGATGACGCGATGAGTGTGGAATAGTAATTAGATCTAGCCACCCTCATCGCCACTAGGTAGGATCTAACATGCATCCTTACCTGTGCTCGGTCGGATTCGGTTTGGCTAGCCCTCCAACTGCTCTCTAGGCGTCTTTTCCGGCGTTTCATCTCTCTCAGCTCCTCCGTAAACCAAGGGGCCAGTTGAGATCTGCGCTGGGTCAGAGGCCGCAAAGGCACGACTCGGTCCAGTGCTGCGGCAGCGGCTACTTCCCAAGCCGCCGCCTGATTTTCCGCCGAGTCGTGAACTAGATCCTCCGGATATGGCCCAAGCTCCGTCAGGAACCTCTCAGGGTCCATCAGGCGCCTGGGACGGAACCATCTACGCGGTTCCATCTCCCTGCGGCAGGGGGGAGCGGTCCGGAAGTCCATCTTCAGGAGTAAATGATCTGACCATGACAGAGGCTCAGTGATTACCTCCCCTGTTTCCAGATCATTTTGCCACTGGCCGGAGACAAAAATTAGATCCAGTGTGTGTCCTCCTATGTGAGTGGGGGCATAATTTCATTTTTTTCCTGTCTGCTGCATACCACCTCTCGGGGCTCCACACCCCGTCATCGAGGCAGGCCCTTGGGATTGTACTGGGCCAGGCCTGCGCGAGGGGGGAATCGCGCAGGACCAGCAGATCTGTTATTATGTCTTTGCATCAATTATTTTTCCTTTTCTCTTTCTTTTGCTTGTTCTTTTTTTAAAAAAAAAGATTAAAAATTATTAGACCATAAAAAAACTAAACTAAACTCACACTTAAAAGAAAGATTTAAAACAGTAGCTGCAGCAACAATCCCCCCCCCAAAAAAAACCCCTCTAGATAATTCTGGAAATGATGCACTGAAAATATAGCACAGTATAGGAATTCCTTCCGAGGCAAAGTGACTTAGGTACTCCTTACATTTTTTAAATAATATTATTAGAAATCAAAATCTTCTATGTCTTTTCTTCAAATTATTCCGAATCTGCAGCATCTGGATCAAAAAATTCTTAACAGAGAAATGAGATAAANTCCGCGCCCAACCAGGTCTCGGTGATCCCTGCCAGGTCCGCACCCCCCTCTTGAATAAGATCTTGAATGAGGGGGGCCTTATTTACCACGGACCTGGCATTGCATAACATCAGCCGGTGATCCCGGGCCCGAGGTTCTAAGATCCCTGGGGACCGAGTAGAGTCCTGAGGACCGGAGCACCCGCAAGCTTGTAAGCAGCATGTGCGTGCTCCCAAAACCCGATATGGTCCTCTGCTCCCGCCATATCTGCCCCTCCCACTGACCGTACTGATCACACCACCCTCAGCCCCCCAACCTCCCCCCTCACCATTCTAATGCCGCGTCCCTCAGACATGGCCGACCTTGGCCTCAGGGAGACATCCCCCCTGCCTCCCCTAACCACCCCCATACCCCCTAAAAAAATTTTAAAACACCCCTCTAAAAAAGCCCTTAATTTCATTTTTTTCCTGTCTGCTGCATACCACCTCTCGGGGCTCCACACCCCGACAATTTGCCCTTGTCTTTTTCTGGGATTTTTTTTTTAAAAAATTGTAACTTTGCATTTAGGTAATCTGATTCAGCCACCGAGGAACAGCTATGGCCACTAGAAAAGCCGGGTACAAATTCTCAAAATAACAAACTCTTCAAAAGTTACAACCCTACTTTTCAAGACAAAATTGCTTGATATTTGACCTGCATTAGGAAACGCCTCCTTAAAGAAATTATTTGCCAATTTCTTGGATACTAAATGATAGAATCTCGATTCCATAAGAGTGGTTTTCCTTTTGAACCAGATACTTCTCATCAGTTTTGCTTTGAATTGGCAGTTCCCTCCCTCCCATCCAGGACATAGCACAGAAGCACTGCTTGAGCAGGGTCCGTAAGATTATCTGGGACACTACACATCCTCTTCACGACCTGTTTTCCTTGTTACCTTCTGGGAGGAGGGGGCTTTGTGGTATCCGCAGCAGAACATCCAGATTCAGCCATAGTTTCATTCCATACAGCATTAACCGTGTGATCTCTCAAGCTTCCTCCTTCCGTTATATATTCAAGATGGACAGTATTTAATATTTATTTGTTATGTATTTGTAGGGGTGTGGGTTTATACATATGTTGTACATAGTATGTTTAGGTGTGTGTCATGTATGTGTTTCACTTTGAGAGTGGGCAACTAAATTTCATTTTTGATGTGTGCTGTTGTGCCCACAGTAAAAAAATGACAATAAAGGTTATCTTATCTTACCTAAGATCATCTTGAAATAGCTTTTCTCTAGATCTATTGCAATCTAACTAATCAATAGATAAGATGCATCATAGGTAGATAGTTTGGGACCCGGGGCTGCATGTGATCTTCACATCATTTTAAAGGCCTGGGAAGCTGCTTCTGCTAAAAAAATCTCTCCTTAGGCAGGGAAACACAGACATAAGTTCTATGATAGTCAATAGAATTTAAAAAAAAATTCTCAGAATCTCACAAACTAAGAGTAGGAGAAAACCACCACAACTACTATCTAATCTATATCTCGATTCTCAAGTAGGAGAACCTATACCATCTCAGACTAGTGACTGTCCAGTCTCTTCTTAAAAACCTCCAGTGATGGAGCGCCCATGATTTCTGGAGGCAAGCTGTTCCACTGGTTAATTGTCCTCACTGTCAGGAAGTATCTCCTTAATTCCAGGTTGCTTCTCTCTTTGGTCAGTTTCCAACCATTGTTTCTCGTCCTGCCTTCAGGTGGTTTGGAGAATAGTTTGACCTCTTCTTCTTTGGGGTAGCCCCTCAAATACTAGAACACTGCTATCATGTCACCCCTGTTTCTTCTTTTCTTTAGACTAGCCAAACCCAAGTCCCACAACCGTTCTTCATATGTTTTAGTCTCCAGGCCTTTGAATTTGTTTGTAATCTCCCACATGTAAACATCCTGTTTTTTCTTTCTTTCCTGATTATAGGGAACTGTGGTCATGGCCCAATTATGAACGTCAGTCAACCGTATGTGATCCAGCTCAACTGGAGAGGGTTTTCTTACAAATATGGAGCCTGGGGCAGATATTCCTCTCCTCTTAGCCCTGGAAAAGAGCTTTATTGGGTCGCACCTCTAAACCCTGAAGGAAGATACCTGGAATATTACCGACTCCATGATTCCTACGATGATTTGCTGCTCTTCAAATACTCCAGGCAAAACCAAATTAAGTACGGCGAAGGCAGCGGAATGGCCGTGCACAATAATTTTATGTATTATAATGTATATTCCTCGCAAGATATGGGTAAGCTAAATTTAGCAACCAATACGTTGGTGTTGAGGAAGGCTCTTCCAGGCGCCGTTTCTAACAATCGGTTCTCCTATGCGGGGGTAGCTTGGCAAGACATGGATTTTGCTGTGGATGAGAGTGGGTTATGGGTTATTTACTCCACAGAAGCCAGCCAAGGTAACATCGTCATTAGCAGGATTAACGAAATGTCTCTTGATGTGTTGAACACGTGGCAAACGAAGCAATACAAGCCAGCGGTCTCTAATGCTTTTATTATATGTGGGGTGCTCTATGCTACTAGGCCTCTGAACACCAGGAAAGAAGAGATATTTTACTCCTTTGATACCAACACTGGGAAAGAAGGGAGACTAAGCATCATTGTGGATAAAGTGCTGGAAACCATCCAGAGCCTAGACTACAGCCCAATAGACCGGAGGTTGTATAGCTACAATGATGGTTACCTCGTTCGCCACGACTTAATTTTCACGGCCCTTCAACCAGAATAGTTTTCCCAGGGAGATTCAAAGCTTCAGTCCCCAAATTCACAAAAATATATTGAAAAAAAATTGAGAACAAAGGGGAGCAAAGGCTCGATCCATTTGCAAATCATCATCAAGCAAAGAGAACGGGTTTTGGATCTGATCACTTCGTTAAAAATATTTTTAAAAAAAAATCCAAAAAGAGGGTTTGGGTAGAGTAGAGACGATGCAATAAATGTATCAGGAGGGAGTTGAAAAATATGGGTTTATTTTTTCCCCCGATTCTGTGTTTTTAATAGGGGTTATACACTTCTGTTTTCTGAAAGAAAAAGAATCCAAATTTATCTGGTCTGAGGCCAAATTTGGCACAGGTCTTGTGAGAACTGTTTTTATGAAAAGAGGCTTCGGGTTACTTTGATATCCAACCCAACAGACCTGACCAGTTTCAAATTCAGCGGCTGCCTAATTTTGTTAGCCTTCATTCCTTGATTATGTTTTTTAATACCATAAAGTGTTATGCAAACTCATAACAGTTGGATTACTTTATGGTTCAATATGTGATGTGAACCTAGAAGAAAGGTTAAACCAGCTTCATGTTGGGTTAACTCTTTAGCCCCAGTACAGTACATTTTGGGTAGATAGGACGATCCATTTTAATAGACTTTGGGTCCCATTAAAAAAATGACCAGTTGCATTAAAAAAAAAAGCAGTACAGGTAGTCCTTGACTTAAAATCACAATTGAGCCTAAAATGTTTGTTGTTAAGTGAGACAATTGTTAAGTCAATAACTGCAGTTAATAAGTTAGTAAGATGGTTGTTCGGCAAATCTGGTTTCCCCATTGACTTGGCTTGTCCGAAGATCACGAAACGGGATCGCGTGACCCTGGGATACGGCGACCATCATAAGTATGAGTTAGTTGCCAAGCATTTGACTTCCGATCATGTGATCACGGGGATGCTGCAATGGTCGTAAGTTTGAAACACTGTCAAAAGAGTTAAGATGGCAGTACGAAGGGGCAGGGCTTCGAGCACGTTGCCATGACAACCATTTTAAACCTGAGGCCTACAGGTCCCATTCAGTTGTACTAGCATCTTATCTGTCTAGATCAGGGGTAGACAACCTTGGCTCTTTTGTGACTCATGGACTTCAACTCCCAGAATTCCTGAACCAGCATGGCTCAGCTTGGAAAGCTCTCCCTTTCCCCTCAGCATGGCTGACTCAGGAATTCTGGGAGTTGAAGTCCACGAGTCATAAAAGAGCCAAGGTTGCCTACCCCTGGTCTAGATCAACCATTTTTTTGCAATTGGTGTGTATATTTGGCAATACGTGAAATGTAATATCCTGACAGATTATTATTCCTGTTTGGGGACTGAATAAAAATAAAAACAATGCCTTAATCTCAGCCACGGGATTTTTCCAATTTTTTTCTCTCTCTCTCTCTTCCTCTCTCTACTCCGCCATCCAAATAAATGGATATTTTCGTTGTAGGCTTTAACACGTCTTCTCTTCAGGCGAAAAAAAAGCTGTTTTCTCCATTTCTCCGACATTCAGACTGCAATCATTGCTTGCTGAGAAAATGGTGTTTCTATCAGGATGTGGCTGTGCCGTCTGCCTCGGTCACAGCCTGAATGTATGTCAGAGGTTCCGACTGGGTGGAATTTACAACTCTTCTTTGCGATGGAGTAAAAAAAAAAAAAAGCCCTCCTGGGGTTTTTTCTTGAAACATTCCTGTGGAATTAGGGAGACTGGCACCACACACTTATTCGTTTCAGTGGGGTTTGCTTAAGAAACCGCTCAGGGGGCTTGTGTCCTGTTGTTTGCAAAATGTCATCCCTGGCATAGGCTTTTTTTTTTTTTTTTGAAAAGCTGTTTCTCCCCCTATTACTTCTCTATTTTGACGTGAACATAAAAGTAATGGCTCCTGGAATGTTTAGTAAGGGATCCACTTCATGTTTCTTCTGGCCGATCCAGTTATCAAAGTGTCTTAATGGAATAACAGAGTTGGAAGGGACCTTGGAGGTCTTCTAGACCAGGGGTCGGCAACCTTAAACACTCAAAGAGCCACTTGGACCCATTTCCCAGAGAAAACAAAACACTGGGAGCCGCAAAACGTGCGCGCGCATGCACACGCGCATGCGAGGGGTGGGGAGCTTGATTGAAGAGTTTAATTAAAAAGAAATAGAGGCTGCTGTGCATGAGTTATCTCTCTCTCTCTCTCTTTCTCCATCCCTCCCTCTCTCTCTCTCTCTCTGCCCCCCTCTCTCCCTCTCTCCGATCTTCTGCTCACCTGGCAAGCTGGCTTCACGCTGTTCTCCGACAAGCTGACACACATTCTTATTGGGCTGTCTCTCTCCTGCCCTTGGTCTGCCAGTCCTCTTCCCCCACTCAGTGTGTGTGTGTGTGTGTGTGTGTGTGTGTGTGTGAGAGAGAGAGAGAGAGAGAGAGCGAGAGAGCGAGAGAGAGAGCTGCTTCCTGCTTGCTGCTTCCTGCTGAGATGCAGCAAAGGGAGGAGCCCCGCCCAATAAGCTTGTCAGCTTGTCCGAGAACAGCATGACAACAACACTCTCTTTTACACACACACACACACACACACACACACACAGAGAGAGAGAGAGAGAGAGAGAGAGAGAGAGAGAGAGAGAGAGAGAGAGAGAGAGAAGGGAAGTGCAAGTGCCTCTCTCTGTCTCTGTCTCTGCAAATGGCGGAGGAGGCTGGGAGCCGCAGGAGAAGGCTCAAAGAGCCACATGTGGCTCCGAAGCTGCGGATTGCCGACCTGTGTTCTAGACCAACCCTGCTCAAGCAGGAGACCCTAGATAGACCATTTCAGACAAGTGCTTGTCCAATCTCTTCTTAAAAACCTCCAGTGATGGAGCACCCACAAAGTCTGAAGGCAAGCCACTCCACTGGTTAATTGTTCTCACAATTAATCCAAAAATTTGTCCTTAGTTCTAGGTTGGACCTCTCTTTAATGAATAATAGAATTGGAAGGGACCTTGGAGGTCTTCCAGACCAACCCCCTGCTCAGGCTGGAAACCCTAGACCATTTCAGACAAATGATGGCCCAATCTCTTCTTAAAAACTTCCAGTGTTGGAGCATTCACCACTTCTGAAATTCACAACTTCTGAAATTCTGTTCCATTTGGTTTCCTGTTCACTGTTAGGAAATTCCTCCTTAGTTCCAGGTTGCTTCTTTGCTTGGTTAGTTTCCATCCGTTGTTTCTTGTCTTACCTTCTGGTGCTTTGGAAAACAAGTTGACCCCCTATTTTTTATTTATTTTGACCCCTAGTCAAAATAAATAATACATATTTATTCTTTGATTTTTGACCCCAAGTCTTGCTCAGAAGAATCTCACAAACGTTGTAAAAATCCACTCCAACATCCAATATTGAAATATGACTGCATCACCCCATCCATTTCAACGTGCTAAGACATTTGTAATGCCATGTTAGCTTTCATCCTGCCTCTGGGATGAAGGGGCTAATCCTCTTAAATTGCCAGCCGGAGAATGCTGATGTTGCAGAATATTTTGTCCTAAGAAATGAGTTTCCCACTTATTTGCATTTTTTTCTCTTTGACAGTTAGCAAGGTGATGTAATCTGATTTACAAAGAGGGTTATTGCCATCCTTCTCATGTTCTTCACTTAGAGCATGTTCCAAAGTGATTTACTTGTACCAGGAATCTTAGACCATTACCGGCACTGAAATGTTTTGTTTTGGGCTGATTTTGTTTTTTAACCATTTAGTCGTGTGACTTGGTGACTTAATAATAATAATAAAGTTGGAAGGGACCGTGGAGGTCATTGAGTTCAACCCCCTGCTCAGGCAGGAAACCCTACACCATTTCGGACAAATGGCTGTCCAGTCTCTTCTTAAAAACTTCCAGTGTTGGAGCATTCACCCCTTCTGGAGGCAGGTTGTTCCACTGGTTAATTGTTCTCACTGTCAGGAAGTTTCTCCTTAGTTCCAGGTTGCTTCTCTCCTTGGTTAGTTTCCATCCGTTGCTTCTTGTCCTGCCTTCAGGCGCTTTAGAGAATAGCTTGACTCCCTCTTCTTTGGGACAGCCCCTGAGATATTGGAACACTGCTATCATGTCCCCCCTCATCCTTCTCTTCGTTAAACTAGACATACCCAATTCCAGCAACCATTCCTCATGCTACCTTGTCAATCAGATTTTCTTTCAATTGTCTCTGGAGATGCTCAGTCGATCCAGGTCACGGTTGTCCCAAAGGTGCTTTTTCGAAAGTCAACTGGACTTTCTTGGTTCCTCCTTGGAGACGTTTCGCGTCTCATCCAAGTAGCTGCTTCAGTTCTGACTGAAGGGCGGAAGACGGAAAGATTTATATTTCTTGCAGTCCTCTGGTCGTTAGTACTCTTCCTGAGAGTCGTTGAGGCCACTTGGAGGTTCATCTGCGCCCTCAGGGCCACCTGAATAGCACAAATGGGTGTGGAGCCTTCTTGGAGCTGCTGAGAGGACTAGGTCAGGGGTAGGCCACCTTGGCTCTTTTATGACTTGTGGACTTCAACTCCCAGAATTCCTCAGCCAGCGTACCTGGCTAAGGAATTCTGGGAGTTGAAGTCCACAAGTCATAAAAGAGCCAAGGTGGCCTACCCCTGGACTAGGTTGTATACAGGAGATGGGTGGTGTCGTATCCCCTCCATTGAAAGAGGGCTGTTCAGTTTTAATACAGATGGCCTCTTTGACCCTTCTTTCAACACAGAAGTCCTCTCTGTACAGAATGTGGACTTTGCTTCTTTCAGCTTTTGGATGTTCATGTTCATCAGTTGTGGTGTTATCAAGCCATCTTGTTCTTGGCTTGCCCCTTCTTCTTGTTCCACTAACCATTCCGAGCCCCATTGTCTTCTCCAATGAATCTCCACACATGGCAGGGCGGCCAAAGTAAACCAGACGTAGTCTTGTGAGTTGGGTTTCGAGGGGTGTGTCTGGTTTTACACAATTCAGCACCTCTCTGTTGCTTGCTCTGATTGCCCTATGTCAGGGGTAGGCAACCTCGGCTCTTTTATGACTCATGGACTGCAACTCCCAGAATTCCTGAGCATGGCTGACTCAGGAATTCTGGGAGTTGAAGTCCATGAGTCATAAAAGAGCTGTGGTTGCCTACCCCTGGTATAGGTTCTCCTGCTTGAGCAGGGGGCTGGACTAGAAGACCTCCAGGGT